GAACCAGTAACATTCTGTTTTCAACTGCTAAAGTTCCTTTGTTTGCTAAGAAAGCATTTTTTTTCCTTACTTTTTTTTCCTTGGTATCTTAGAAAAGTTTTCATCCAGAAGTAATTTTTATGGTTATCACCTTTCCAATGCTTAGGAAGAAGAAATTGATGGTGTAGATTTCATAATCATTGCCAGTGATGGCCTTTGGAATGTCTTATCAAATAAGGTGAGAACTTTTACTGCATTCATATCTTATGGTAAACAAAAGAAAATGTAGAGAAACTTTATATTGATATGTGTTGTTATTTCACAGTAATTGAAATGAAATATAAGCACCTGGGCGTGTTCTTTCACTTGCAGGATGCTGTGGCCTTAGTGCAGGACATAACAGATGCAGAAGCTGCAGCAAGAAAACTTATAAAAGAAGCTTATGCCCGAGGGAGCTCAGACAACATTACCTGTGTTGTTGTCCGGTTTGACAGCTCGTGAACTTGACGAGGTTGTAATTTATCTGAAAATGATCATGTTTCTATTGTGTTCTTCAGACGAAGAGCTTCTATAATCTGTACTCTTTTTTCATTACAGGTTTTGCAGAATATTAAACAGAACAGAAGCTAGAAAATAGGGATTTCCATGGATGCAAATTTTAGCTCCCCTTGGATAATTGCTCTAGTTGATTAGATCAAGAGTTTTCAAGTCAAATTGGCTATAAGTAACAATGTTGTATGTGTTTTAAGATTTGGTTTGTTACAATTATGTAGCAATCAGCTCATGTAAAATTATTGATCTTGCTTAAGGCAGTTGGATGTTTATGATATTGATACAACGCCTACATAATTAAAATGTTTTAGTTGATTTTTCATTGGACCTGATAAAATATGATTATATTGATATAATATGAAAAAGATAATAAAACTATATAAGTTTGATAAAATTATAAAAAAAAAAAAAGAAAGGTATTTTTTGTTTAATGTGTCGTCATAAATAATGATATTATATTTTTTGGGTTTTATACATGTTACGGACACTATATGAATACACAAGTTGCTAATTTTATTTTTCATTTAAATCTTCATTCATTCCGCTTTTCTTAATACAGTAGTAATCTAAATTAAGTATCATTATATATATTTTTGTCGAGGATTTCACCTTAACTTTGAGTCTAGACTGAACCCAAGAAAAAAGAAAGAAAACCCGATACTTTGCAGTCCATTTTTTTGGCCCATAAGCCTTTTTCGGTCAACCTAAGGCCCATAAGATGTTTTGCGCGAACTTAAGACCTATAGGCTTGAGACAGGAAACCCAACCCCCAGGGTTTTGGATTTTAAGTCATAGTTCGGAGGCTTTGGTCGGAGCGTGAGCAGAAGAAAACGGCCGACTCAGCCTTTCATTCTCTTTCTCTCTGTTGTTTGCCAGAAACACTTTCCAGGAAAAGAAGACAGAAGCTGTAAACCTTCGATGGCTTACCAAAAGGAGCTTCTGGTAAGCTCAAAGGCCGAGCTTAAACGGAACAAAAAGAAAAAAAGAAAGCAAAATCTGGCGGCTTTGAGTCCCTTAAACCTCAGCCCTAATGTCTACGAGAGGAATCAAGCGGAAAGGGTTACAGAGTACCTACTCCGATTCAGCGCAAGACCATGCCGCTTATTCTCGCTGGACACGACGTCGTTGCCATGGCACGGACAGGTTCGGGGAAACGGCGGCTTTTTTATTGCCCGATGCTGGAGAAGCTGAAGCAGCACGTGCCTCAGGGCGGTGTCCGAGCCCTCATTTTGTCTCCTACTAGAGATTTGGCCTTGCAGACGTTAAAGTTTACCAAGGAATTGGGAAAATTTACAGGTTTTTAATTTTTTTTTATGAAGAGGACTTTTTAACGGTAAATTATCATATTCTTCATTGATTTGTTATATTTTTAATAATTAAAAGTTAAAAACTTTGTGAATAGAAAAAATGCATGATTTTAGCTTTATATGGATCGATTATATTGGAGAATGTTTTACATTCTAATCATATTCTTATTTTAATCAAATATGATTATTCTTTTAGCAAATTTTGAGCAATCCAAAAGATAGTAGTAATTCCTTTAGTCATTGATTAGACTGCTCCTTGTTGAGTTTGA